CCCTTGATCTATGAATAGGCTCCACATGAGTACAATTAAGTGCTCTGGAATTTCTATTCTTCTCAATGTTATCCACATTTGTTATGATCCACACAGTCAAATGCCTTTGCACAGTCAATAAAATATAGGTAAACATCTTTCTGGTAATCTCTGCTTTTAGATAAGATCCATCTGACAGCAGCAATGATATCCCTCATTTCATGTCTTGTTTTGAATCTGGTATGAATTTCTGGCAGCTGCTTGGCAATTTACTGCTGCAACTGTGTTTGGATTATCTTCAGCATAATTTCACTTGCATGTGATGTTAATGACATTGATCAATAATTTCCACATTCTGTTGGATAGCCTTTCTTTGGAATGGGCACAAATATGGACCTCTTCTAGTCAGTTGGCCAGGTGGCTCTCTCCCAAAATCTTGACATAGGTAAGTGTGATAGTTGGAGCTGTGTGTCAATTTGGCTGGATCACAATTCTCTGTGGTTTAAGCAGTTGTGATGTGGTTATTCCCATGATGGGATCAGATGAATATGTTTTGAGCAGCCAATCCATTGAAAGGGAGTTTCCCTAGAGGTATGGCCTGCTTCCAGTATATTTATGGACATCTTGGGAAAAGAGACATTCTTCTGTGGATCAGAATTCTGTTGTACTGCCTACAACTGTCCGTGAGCGAACAATCCACCATTTGGCCTGGAGATCTTGGATTCATCATTCATTGGAGTCAATAGCCAGTATACTGCCTGCCACTTGAGCTCCTTAGCCCCTACAGCTGCACAAGTCAGGAAAAGCCTCCAGCTTGATGTTTGATCCAAGAACTTTGGACTTGCCAGCTTCTATAAGTGTGTGAGCCATTTTCCTAAGATATTTTTTTTTTTTCTCTCTCTATATATACAAGCTTTACTGGTTTTGTTTCTCTAGAGAACCCAGTTTAACACAATAAGTGAGTACTTCCAGTATTGTATCCATTTCTTGAAATACCTCAATTGATATTACTTCAACTCCTGGAGCCCTATGTTAGACCAAAGCCTTCAGGTTAACTTGGGCTTCTTCATTCAGTACCATTGCTTCTTGATCATATGCTACCTCCTGAAATGGCTGAACACCGACTAATTCTTTTGGTACAGTGACTCCATATATTCTGGATATTCCTTCCATCTCCTGTCGATGCTTCCTGTATCTCTCAATATTTTGTCCTTTTAATACTTCAACACTGCAACTCGAATTTGGTTGCAAGTTTTCTTCAAGTCTTTCAGCTTCAGAAATGCTGAGCATGTTCTTCGTGTTTGGTTTTTTTAACTCCAGGTCTTTGCACATTTAATTACAATATTTCACTTTGTCTTTTCAAGCCAGCTTTTGAAATTTCTGTTCAGCTCTTGACTTCATTTCTGCCATTCACTTTAGCTATTCGACATCCATTTTGGTCTCTTCTTCTTTCCTATCTTTTTAATGACCTTTTGCTTTCTTCGTATATGAGGCCCATGATGTCAAACCACAACTCATCTGGTCTTCAGCTATTAATGTTTAATGCATCAAATTTATCCTTGAGATTCAGGTAGGATATATCCAAGGTCGTATTTGGGCTCTCATGGATTTTTTTTTTTCATTTTCTTCAGCTTCAATTTGAACTTTTATATGAGCAACAGATGGTCTTTTCTGCTTTCGGCCCCTGGGCTTGTTCTGACTGATGATAAGCTGCTCCATCATCTCTTTCTACAGATGTAACTGATTTAAATCCTGTGTATTCCATCTGGCAAGGCCCACGTATAAAGTTGCTGTGTATGTTGTTGGAAAAAAAAAAAAGTATTTACAATGAACAGGCCATTGCTCTTGTAAAATTCTATCATGAGAGATCTGGCATCATTTCTATTACCCAGGCCATATATTCTAACAACTGATTCTTTTTCTTTGGCCATTTTGATTCTGAAAATCATATGCCAGGAATGATAAACTGAAGAGGAATGGTGTGACATTCATTGTCTAAAAGAACCTTTCAAGATACATTCTGAAGTATAATGCTATCAGCAATAGCATAATATCCATACACCTAAAAGGAAGACAAGTAAATGCAACTATTGCTCAAATTTACACATCAACCACCAATGCCAAAGAAGAAGAAATTGAAGATTTTAACCAGCTTCTGCAGTCTGAAATTGATCAAACATGCAATCAGGATGCACTGATAATTACTCTAGATAACAGACACTTGTTATATTTATTTATTTTTTGTCATAGGAAAAGCAGCACAGAATGTGGGTGAAGAGTATACAGTTGACTGAGAGGTCCATTATGGCAGTAAGGATGACACAAGAGAAAATGACATTTTTGATAAAGAATAAGATCTATGTAATATTGCAACACCACCAAAAAATGTGTGTGGCTTTCTATATATGTATATATCACTATTAGAATGTATATGCATGCATATATGTGTGCACACATAAATATTTCTATATGTATGTGTATATGCATGTATATGTATACTGGTAATTGAAATAAATCCCAAAGGGAACACATTTATGGATATTTTTTAGACATAATCAAACACCTCACAAGATTTGTTTTCTGTGCTTGAAGTTTAGGACCATAATCTCAGGAGAAAATTCAGTCAACTGGCACAATATACACCCACTTCTCACTTATCAACATGGTTAAGCTCCAAAGCCCAGACCATTTTGTGAAAACACACATTATGTGAAAATGGAGGATGACCATATCAGATCACAAAAGGGAGATGACTATATTATTATATAACTGCCAAAATACACCATTACATAATCACAAAGCCACTGAGAATCACGGCCCAAATATGTTGACACAGAACCTTAATCATCACAGCCAGCATTATTCTCGCCTCATACCTCAACATCTGTTACTTTCAGACTTACAATGCTAATGTGCAAAATAGTTGGATTTTTTACTGTTGTCATAAATGTGAAATGTCAGATAACAAGATAGACGGTAAGTGAGGAGTAAGTGTACTTCATAAAGTTTATGTTCTACATCCTAGTTTCATGAGTAGTATGTGGGATCCTAAAAGCTTACAAGTGGCTATCTAAGATACAACTATTATTCTCTCTTCATCCACAGCAAAAGAGAAAGAAGGAAACCAAACATTCAGAGAAGAAACTAGTCTACAGGATAACACTCTACAGTAACAATGACCTCATCTCCCCTGAAACTGGAAGAACTAGATGATACCTGGCTATGTCTCACAACCATTCTGATCAGGGCCACAGACAGACAGATGCTGACAGAATGGGAAAAACATAAGAACAGAATTCAAATCTTAAAAAGTTCAGACTTTCTGAACAGGTTAAGACTAGAAGACTCTCCAAGACTATCACCTAGAGATACTCTTTGAATCTTGAATCTAAACTATCCTCTAAGGTCACCTTTTAGCTACATGACAGATTGGTTCATAAAAATATCACTCATGAGTACTGAACACTTTTAATAATTTCATGATGAATGGGACAAATATCATCCACCAGCATTTTCAGCCTCTCCACTTTCTTCAGAAGCTGCTATCCTAGTTGCAGTATGATCTACCACCTGGTTGAGACCTGGATAACTGTCGAATCTGAAGAAACAGGCCTCACCTATCAATTCTACTTACCACCATTGAGGACAGAGGTTTTCTACCAAATTGTTTCAAAATCTGTATTACCTCAAAAATCTTTTTTTCCTTCATTTCCACATGCCTTCCATTACTGAAATCATATGATATCAACAAAAAATTCCAAGCAGAAAATAATTCAGTCATGAAAGGGTTTAAGAAGGGGTCAATAATTACCATAAAGGAAAGATGAAAAGTTAAGTGGACAGTGAAAGTAGACTACTGGAAATGGAACAACTAGAATGGAATTAATAAGAATTTTGATACATTTTGAAAAATGTAACCAATGTCACAGAACAATTTGCATAGCAATTGTTCATTGGGAACCTAATTTGCTGTGTAAACATTCACTGAAAACACAATAAAATATGGTGCTTTTAAAATATGAGCTAACATTTTATAATAAAAATTATAAGACTGTGAATAAGAAAAAGATTAGTTTTTGTTTGTGCTTAATTTGGGGTCTTTCGAGCTTTTTCCTTTTGTAGGGGGGCTGGGTAGGGTAGTTTATGGACAGATATGAGGGAATTTAACAGCAAATATTTAGAACATGTCAAACGTGGTGTGTACACATTTACATAATCAATCTGAATTTTCAAAATTACATCAAATACAATTTGATCTTGCCCCTGGAGGTTGATAATAATATAACTAAAGATGAAAGAAAATAAATAAGTAAATCATCTTATTTAAAAAAAAAAAACCAGAGCACTACTTTAAAGCATCACCATGATGAACGAGTGTAACCAACCTAAAAATAATAATTAAAAGGTAGAAGAAAAGAGCAAAGGAAAGAAAGCCTGATAAAAATCTTAATTTTAAGTTGCAACACAGCTAATATATAACATTGGCAAATCTTTTCACCTTTCCAGACCCCAGCTTCTATAAAATAAGAGGGCTGGCACAAGATGATTATCAAAGTTCCTCTAAGATCTTTTTTTTTAAATGTATCCATTTTTCATTCTTATTGTCAAGAACAAGACAGTATTTCTAATTTCAGAGTTCAGACTATGAGATGGACTGAAAGTAAGTGATGAGAATGAGAAAACTGAGGCTACTCTTGCAATATAGTGCAATAAATCATAACTATATTCTGTATTAATAAGAAGTGAAACTTCCATTTTACTTACTTGAAATTAAACATAAAACACAAAAAATTAAGTATATACTTTGCAAAACCCCTCACACTTCACTGATGGCCAGAAGTTCAGCAGATATTTTCAATCAAGATAATTTCTCGTGAATATGTTTATGTTAAAAAAAGGAAGATGGACATTAAATATGTGTAAGTAACAATGAGAGGAAAAGGTTGACATTGTCTTTGTCTTGTTTTGTATAGTATAAGAATCCCCTCAAAGGAGAGTTAACACTGACAAACAGGACTCACCACAACTGCAAATTGCTCAGGTTCACTCAAGTTGTTATAGTCACTCTTGAAATGAGATAATGATTCCAATTGCTCTTGATCAGGAAGATGCTTTATTAAGTTCTAAAGGTTTAAACCAAGAGAAAAAAAAATCTTCATTAAATGTACTTTTCTATTTTTAGGGGAAAAAATATTAATAAACTGTAAGAAGGAACTGAGTGAAGAAGTTAATTTTCAGTCTTATTTCTCAGTAACCTCCATTATACTAAACCTGAAGCTACATTCCCTGTAACAGTAAGCTACATTTCCTCTTCTCTAACAGTGTTACTATATATTCAAATCAAGCACTACTGAATGTTTATTTGATCAGCCATATACTTAAGAAAGGAGACCTCTATCTATCCCAAAAGTACAGTTTCCTCACCTGGATAAAGTGATTCACTACTTTTTGGCTTAGGGAATGAAATCTCAAAAATTTCAGGTGAAACCAAACATATTTTAGGACGTCACTCAGGTATATAAAAGAAATCATCATTTTGCTACTAAAAAGAGAGCTAAAGAATAGAAAAGAAATCAAGGGAATTTTAAGGGCAGTGCTTGCAAGATATGACAAATAGGATAATGATTTTAAGAATAAAAACTGAAGGCATTTCTAAAACAAAGACAAAGTCACTTTTCTAGTGTAAAAGAAAATTTAAAAAGGCACTGAAGAAACAGGATGATAGAGCTTGCAGGTAAAATGCATATAAATAGATCCTTTAGGAACTTAAGTGTCCATGATTGTAATAGGCCTTTGCCTATCTGGAGTCCAGAAACCACCAGCTCATTTAGCTGCTCTGTCTCCTTTGTCCATGAGCAGCCCTCCACCAGCCACAGGTTTAGATAAGAGAACAGCTGACAATGGCGAGGGCCAACGGAATGCACATAATCATGCTTTCCTATTAGTGTTTAAATGATTAAACAATCCCTTGGACAAAGTCTAGATAGACCTTCTGAATGAAAATAAAAACAATTTTAATAGTGTTATAACCAGTTAGTATACTGAGAATAAAATTAAGAAACAAAAGAGTGAATGGTACCCATAATTTCAAATTATAGGGTTGGTACACAAATTATAGTATCAGTACAGTATTAGAAATTATAGTATCAGTAAATTTTGTACAAGCCCAAAGTCAAATTCCAATTAGAATTAAGTCCACATCATGTTATATACACCATGGGGGAAAACTCCTCAAATGTGGTATTAAAACAGTGTTACAGACTACTATGTATTAAATTAAAGTAGTTAGATCAAAGACCAAGTTACTGACTCACTGTGTACCTTTGGACAAAAACTTGGTTAATTGGGTAAAAACAAAACAAAACAAAATGAAAAAGTGGCAATTTAAGGTCATCTTTAGGGAAAAAAAAATTCACTACTAATATTATCAAGTTGAATTTAAACAATAAAGGTATACAATTTTACCATATAAATAGAAATGTCTCTCAATGGAACTGCCTGAAGACCAAATGACCAGGTTATGTTTTCTTTTAACCATTGCAGTTGATACCTGGGTTATTTGAGCTATTTATTGAATTGGGCCTCTGAATTTCTTTAGTGTGATAATTTTTTTTTTTTTTAAAGAATACCATCCCATTAAATCCCCTTGGATATTTTTACTTAAGATATAATTAGATTTTACTCTTTCATGAAAAATTTACTAATTTCATTAATTTTGCTTGCTAATATAATAAAACTACTATAATTTTTAAGAATACACACTTAACCTTGCTTCATTTCTCTCCTTCCTGTATATAGTACTGTATATATCCCATACCCTTCACAGTTTCTAAGCTCCTGCCATGCACACCTAGGTTGACCCTCACAGCTCATGCTATTATCATTGTAGGAACAATTATTTTTCATTACATTACTCATATAATCTCCTTCCCTCTTCTATGTCCGTATCTTACTCATCTTAAGTGCCCCTGGCTCCACACATACACAGCTCTAGAATTTGTCCAACACATTATCTAGTTTTAAGTCAATTTTGAGGAGCTCTGGTGGCATAGTTCCTAAGGCATGTGACTGCTAATCAGAAGGCTGGCAGTATACAGCTATGTCTATCTTGACCTATAACTACATACTTAATTGTCATCTCCTTTGCCAAACTATAAATCCCCAGAAGGTAAAATCTGTGTCTCACTGAGCCCAATACAATGCTCTGCATATATGGGAAGCATATTTAAATATTTGGTAAACAAATTAAATACTAAAGACTGATGGGTAAACATGGGGAAAATAAGCAAGAATGATGTGGAAAAAAGGCATTAAAAATAGCATACTACTGACCTTTTTTATGAAATAAACAAATATATAAATAGATAACTCAAAATAAAATGATGACAATGAGTAAAGTCCACTAAAATGATGATTATTACAAAACAATGTTCTGTTTTCATGCTATGTTCAAAATAGGTACTGCTTCACTTTAAAATTAGGAATCTATTTTTTAAATTAAAAATGAACATTCAAATAGCATGAAATTCCAGTTTTTAAAAGAATATATGAAGGCCTTGAATATGTCCAAAATGAAATTTTAGATTTTTAAATCTGTAAGTCTGGTTTTATATTTGATAAGTGTGGCACACAGAATAATGCCCCTCCACTCAAGATGTTCATGTCCTAACCCTAAAAACTGTACAGAAGAAGGGCCCATGAGCCAAAGAATGCGGTCTCTAGATGCTAAATAAGATGAAAAAGGATGATGAACACATATTCTTCCCTAGAGCCTACAAAAGGAATACAGCCCTGCCAAAATCTTGATTTTAGCCCAGTAAGACCCACATCAGACTAATGATGTATGCATAACAATGTAAGATAATAAATTTGTGTTGTTTTAAAAGTGTGTGGTAATTTGTAACAATAGCAGTAGAAAAACAAAAACAAACCAAACTCTGCCAGAACCAATCAATTCTGACTCATAGCAACCCCATTGGGTGTCTGAGGCTGTAAATCTTTCCGGAAGTAGATTGCCCCATCTTCCTTCCATGAAGCAGCTGGTGGGTTTGCACCATCAACTTTCTGGTTAGCAGTCAAATACCTTAGGCACTGCACCACCAGAGCTCCTTTTAATAGAAAACCGATACATAATAAATTATGTGTATCCAAATGTTCTTTGGACAAAATACATTTTTTTTCAATTCTATAAAAAAAAGGCAAGTGATCATCCAAAATTTTCATGTAATCAAGTTAAAGTTACTCTGAAAATATTTATTTACCAAATGCATTATAAAAGCCACAGAGAAGTATTAATTAAGAAGACTTTCTTAAAAGAACCTGGAATCTACTCTAAGCAAGAAGGCACATTCAAAAGCATCCATAAGAAAGGCAAAAAATTTTGTAAACAAACTGCTTGAGGAAAAATGCTTAAATAGGGTGGTTGAATTAAGCTATTTATGAGTCTCAGAGGCTCACAGCACAAGTCGCTAATGAGGCTATATCAGCATGCATTTAGAAGACAGGATAGAGACTTAACCAGAAAAAACCTTCTGAGGTCACTACTTATTAATGATAGAATAAAATGTCTAGAATAATTTTAATTGCTTTTTGAAACTAATAAATAACTTTTGGTTTCTTTTTATTGCTAAAAAATCATTTCTGTTTTCTTACATTCATTATAACACTAAAAGGAAGTAAACCGAAGAAATTATTCTCTCACTATATAATTTGTGTTTGATTCAACTTTAAATTCTATCAATATACATATTACAGATTTCTTATGTGGAATTCACCAAACGACATTAGAACCACAGTAGTTTACTTTAAATAATATTTTAAGAAACAACAATAATCTATCCTTCTGAATGAATTCAGAACACTATCACACAATCTCTAACACTCATAGGAGCAGGAGAGACTCAAGGAAGGGTTGTTGGTAGAGGTAACATTAAATAAAAACATCCTCAAACTTCCAAAACAGATATTAATACAACTTTATAAGACATATAAATCTGAGCAAAACACATTTTAAAGAACTGTAGAAACAAATTTAAATTGACATATTACTATAAGAAACAGAAACATTGATGTAAAATTAACCAATTTGCCATTCAAAAACAAGTCATTTAAAAATAATTGAAATGTAATCATTTTGATAGCATTATATTTAGTTTGCAGTTAAGAGAAGATGCAGTTTTATCTCCTGGCAATGCAGAAGTTATGCTAAAACTAATTATGCAGCAATGATTTTCCAGTTGAATGATTTGGGTTAAGAATTTTGCTTCACTTACTGATTTCTATTTAATGAGAAGCTTGCAATGAAATATTGGAATTTAAGCTCTCTGCCTGTTTGTTTACCTGAATCATAGACTCCGCCAACTGTGTTTCATTGACTTCCAATATCATCATTTTGATTTCCTCATATGGCACACGAAAAGAGCTCAGGAAGATTGCTAAGGAAGTAAAATAGGAAGAAAAAGGGGGGAGGGGTTCATACTGAATTCAGTAAAAAAATAATTTGAGATGTACTTCGACTTCTAAAATCAGAAAAATATTCTGTAAAACAAAATTTTAAACATTTAACATAACTGCTACAGGGGACTTTCATTAGCACATTCTGTACTCTTCTGTTCCAGCTCTAATGTTTAACAACACTCCTATATTATTATACTAGTCGCATAGTGGCTAAGACACTTGCCTGCTAACCAGATGACTGGCGGTTCAAACCCACCAGCCACTCCTCGGAAGGAAGGTTGGGCAATCCTACTTCCGTAGTGATACTGCCTCGGAAACCCAAGGAGGGGTCGCTATGAGTCAGGTATGACTCGACGGCACATAACAACAACAACAACAGTCATGAGGCTGATTTTTAACGCTGTATTAGCCTACCATGGGTATGATGCCAATATTCATGTGATGAAAACTGAAATATGTTTGGGACATTATAAAAATACCACATTATAATAAAAAATAAATAAAACCTCAGTACAAAACCAAACACCAAACCCACTGCCGTCAAGTCAGATCTGACTCATAGCCACCCCTCCTTAGGTTTCTGAGGCAGTATCACTATAGAAGTAGATTGCCCAACCTTCCTTCTAAAGAGTGGCTGGTGGGTTTGAACCACCAGCCTTCTGGTTAGCAGTCAAATGCCTTAGTCACTATGCCACCAGAGCTCCCAAACCTCAGTATACACATGTATTGTTTGTCTAAATGTGTGTGTCACTAGCATATATGAAATATCCCAGCCCAACTAAAGACTTCAAAACTATTATTTTAAGAAGGCTGCTAAGCAATGCATTAATACTTTAACTAGCTATAGAAACACTTCACTATTCAAAACATTGCAGGTAGTATGCCAAAGAAATTAGCCTTTGAATATAACTGACGCTTAAATATCTGATTTTAGAAAACACATTTTTATAAAAACATGTCCAAATGGATTAGATAACATGTTATAAATGAGAATTCCAACTATTATTTCAATTTTTCTGATACCTCAGATATCTACTGCTATTATATAATGGTTTATCCAAATCTATTGAGTTAGAAAAAAATGCTTTCACAGTATTAGATATAATGCTTTTAACATTCCTCTTTCTCATAATATCCTTATGTCTCTTCAGTGACAGATGTCACTTCTTGAATACATTTAAAACTAGCTACATATAGCCTGTTAATTTATTTTATATAGTGAACTTCTATTTGGTGTGTAGGTATTTCCATATAAAGACAGTATTTTTCATAACATCCAAAAAGTATGATCTGCTTGTCTTTTAGACTATAGGTTTATTATAGACTCTTGAAGATATCACGTATTATCTATAGATGGTTAAGTCTATTATACTGTAAGTTCAATCACCAATTTCATTCACATATTTCTGAACCCATGTCATAAATATGGAATGTTGTTGTTTGTTGTTATATGCCGTGGAGTCAGACCCAACTCATAGCGACCCCTCTTTGGGTTTCGGAGGCAGTATCACGACGGAAGTAGATTGCCCCATCTTCCCTCCAAGGAATGGCTGGTGGGTTTAAACTGCCAGCCTTCTGATTAGCAGTCAAAGGCCTTAAGCACTACACTACCAGAGCTCCTAGAAAGCACGAATGTGATAAACTCAACCTTGAGTTTAACAGACTTTTGGTGACAGAAACAAAGGATCTAAATGACATGGTAATAGAAAGACATTAACAGAATTAAAATGTATAATCCTACAGTAGAAAATAGAAAGCTTAAAAATTTAGAAACAATAAAATCTCAAAAGTCTAATGAATAGAAAATAATTGACAGAGATGAAAGAAAATCTAAATCTTTACATTTATATACAACAAATTGCAGATGGTTATAAAGATATAAGTGTTAACAAGAAAAACAAATGCTAAGAGAAATTTAATATGGTTAATTAGCTCAACTCTTGTACTTTTTAAGAATAAAAGTAAATTTAAAGCATATGAAAAGACTAATACTTGAAACCATAAAAGGAAAATGCTAATCTCAAAGCATATAAAACAACTAAAAAAAAAAAAAAAAGTATATGTGAACTGCTGTATGCAAAGTGAATTTACTCTGTAAATCTTCACCCAAATCAAAATAAAAAAAAAAAAAAAAAAAAACAAGCAAGCTGAAGGGAAAACCTGCCTCAAGATTCACAGAGCAGTATTTTTCCTTCAAAGCACCCGAAACAATTAGAATACCAGATGATTCAAGCAGAAAAATGGGCAAGATGCATGTAAAAATAATTAAAACACTAAGAAATAAAAATGGCACAAAAAATAATAATAGCATGTAATAAATTCAATCACAGACACAAGCAAATTAAGAAACCTAGTCAAGGCATTTCTAGAATACAAATCAGAAACCCTGAAAATCTTAACATCCTTTGAGAAACAATACATTCCACTCAACAAATCCAGTATATGGATATAACAAGAAAGGGAGAGAAGCTTATACCTACCAAATAATGTATTTTTTTATGGTACTAATAAAACTGACATAACATGGTAAAGAATATAATTACATAGGAATAGTATTGATGTACAAGAGCATTCACCATATAATGTTAAATACAAAACTAGAAAGGATAGAATACTTTTGGAGTATAAGTAGAAGAGAAAACAAAAATTTCATATTTTAGGCAGTATGATGCAGTGGTTAAAGCATTCGGCTACTAAGCAAAAGGCTCGCAGTTCAAATTCACCAGCTCTCCACAAGAGAAAGATATGGTCGATTACTTCCTTAAAGATTTATAGCCTTAGAAACTCTATGTGGACAGTTCTACTCTGGATCAGAGTCCACTTGATGGCAGCGGGTTTGGTTTGGTTTCATTGCAGAAGAGAAAGACACCTCTGAATACCTCTCCACTTCAAATATCTGAAAAAGATGGTCTTAAATGCATTGTGAGCTGTTTTAAAAAAGGAAAGCAGGAATCCTGGAAAGTTAGCTGAGAAAGTGTTTGTAATCTTGGAAACCTTGACCACCTAACATCATGGTTGTATATTGAGCAAAATAAACGAGATAAACCCTAGTGCTTGGCCAAGGCAGAGAATCTAATAGAAGACTTCAGTATCAAGCTAGAACAAAATAGGGATTCTCCCTCTGTGTAAGAGAAAAGAAGAAAAATATTTGCTGTAACTGAAGAAAACAGGAAGAAAATGTGGAAGTACTAGAATAGGAAAAAAAAAATCTCCTCGGTATTACTTTAACAAACCAGAATTATTTTATGTACCTAATGTAAGCTACTTACACCAAAACGTACTGTCATGGAGTCAATGCATAGCAGAACAGCCCCATAGGGTTTCCAAGGCTGTAAATCTTTAAGGAAGCAGACTGCCTCCAATTTCTTCTGCACAATGGCTGGTGGGTTTGAATCACTGACCTTTGGGTTAGCAGCCCCATGCTTTAATCACAGCATTACCAGAGTTCCTAGATACTTATCTACTTATACCAAAAATATCAAACCCACTGCCATCTAATTAATTCTGACTCATAGTGAGCACCACTGGGTTTCCAAGAATTTATATCCTTTTTTTTTTAAATTTTTATTGTGATTTGGGTGAAAGTTTACAGAACAAATTCATCTTCCATATAGCAGTTCACATACACTTTGTCTCATGACATTGACTATAATTTCCCACATTCCAACAGCTCCCTTCCCACTTCCTCCCCAAGTTACCTCTTCACTGTGTCCTCCCCTCCTATGCACCCCTGCCACCTGAGCCCTCTCCCAGTGCATACACAGTCCTTCTATCCACCCATGATTGATCTCTCCAAGGAGTATATCTAACTAATATAAATGCTCAGCTCATACTACTGTCTTTTGTTTGGCTGGAAGCCAAAGGAGTGGGTTCAATTCCAGACCTGAAGAGAACCTAGGGGCCACAGTCTCAGGGGTTCCACAAGGCTCAGATCAGTAAACCTGGTCCTTTTTTCTTTTTTCTTTTTAAATGATACTGAGTTTTTGTTCCACATTGTTCTCCCACTTTATCCAGGATCTCCTATGTAGATCTGCCTCCAAGTGGCTGACAATGGTAGCCAGGCACCATCTAGTTCTTCTGGACTCATATTTATATAGGCAAAGGATCTCATGGTATAGCAGTCCCTTGGACTAATTGTTTCCATGTGTCTTTGGCTTTCTTCATTCTTCTTTGTTCTAGATGAGGTGAGACCCACCATTGTATCTAAATGGCTGCTTGTAAGATTCTAATTGCTACTTGCCAAAGTAGGATGTGGAATGATGTTTTTATGTAGTATGTTATGCCAGTTGAGCTTGAGGTCCCCTGCAACCGTGGTCCCAAGCCCACAGGTCCAACTACTTGCTCACTCCAGGCAGCGAGGCCAAAAGTGACTATAACTTTATACCTTGTCAGATCTACTACATACCTGGAAATTTTTAAAGAACATACAAATACACTTCTAGAAACATTATCTGCCAACCCTATCTGGGCACATTCCCCCCTACACAGACATACCTAATACTTCAGAGTGTCCACCCATCTATCCATCCATAGATCAATGTTTGCTATCACTGACAATGCATTACTCTATGTGCAGAAGTGTTCATCTTTATTGTTTGTACCTCCTATGCACCTCTCTACGTCTTCCTCTTCCTCAATGCCATCATGTTGATCACTCACTTTGGGTACACTGTCCTTCCCTTCACCCAAATCAATACTTGTCTCTACAGGTATCACTTTGGTACCTGTCCTTCCCCAGCCCACCCACCCCCAGTAACCAACAAAGAAAATTTCCATCTATATAGAAACTTTTCCTTGACATTTTACAATAACAGACTAATACTATATTTGTCCTTCTGTGATTGACATCGGCATAATGTCCTTCAAGTTCATCCACGTCATGTGGTGTTTTGCAGATTCTATATTATTCTTTAGGGTTACATAGTATGTCTGTTTTATGTATGTACCATAGTTTGGTAATCCACTCTTCTGTTGATAG